TGTAGTCACCAGTTCACACAGTTAAGTGATGTCATAAAACCCCAAAACCCTTCAGAACAATGTAGGCCTGTGTTCTTTTTCTTGTGCGTCCTGCCCTTTCTTCCTTTGAAATTTTCACAACTAACTGAGATCACGCGGTATCCTACTACATCTTTTTTTTTGACACGACCCTTGATTGTGAAGGCCAGTCCTTTCCAACACCTGATGACGTTAAAAGAAACGCATGCACAACACGCTGTCTCGGGTGTACGAAGACCACATGTTGAAAGTTCGCTGGATAAGCTCACTGGCCATTGGCCACAGCTAGGGTTACCAGGTGTCCACTATTTGAGCGAACAGTCCACTTTTTTTTTCCACATTATGTTCACTTTTTTTTTCCCACAAACTAGTGGACATTTTTTTTTTCTACTACTTAAACCACCCCCCACGCCATCCCTCCGCTTGTCCGCTATTTTTTTGGAAGCAGACCTGGCAATCTAATGACAGCTTGGTGAAGAAATATAACCCATGTACTTGAAAAGATAAAGTGTTATTTTGAGGGAGCAGGGTGAGCAACAACAAAAAAAGCAACTGCAACATTATTATGAACAATTTCTAAGCATTTTCTACATCACGATGCTCGTACCAATATAAGAAAAGTAGACGAGGAAGTATGTATGTCTAGCAGGCGTATGTGATGAGTAGCGTGTTCTCTCAGCAGATTACACGGTCGGATTTACATTAAAATAAAAGCCCCAAAAATAATAATAATAATAATTATAATAAACTAAAAAAACACATTTAAAAAAAAAGATATAAGCATCCTGATGACTAATGATGCATAGATTGTAGATTTATTGGGCGGGTGTTTGGAAACTTTTTTGACGATCTCACGATACATAGATCTCGTCGGGCTCTGGGGGGGTGGGGGGGGGGGGGGCGTGGATTGATTATATCAATTTCAAGTTTGTCAAGATGTATCATCAGGGTATCTCCCTAATGGTTATTTAAAATATAAAAATCTCATACTTCAAACAAATAACATTCACTTCTATTTGCATTATCAAGTTGCAACATGATGCAAGAAATTGGTGTTTTTATTGGCAAAAAATCAGAGATAATTCGGCCGAAATCGAAGCCGAAACCAAAAGCTTAACGAGACTTTCGGACAAAACCGAAAACAAAAGTTTGACGATACTTTCGGCTAAAAGTGAAGCCGCAAGCATTAGATACTTCGAAAATCGTAAAAGCAAAGTTCTATGTACAGCTAAAAAATGATGGGGGAAAATGTCGATATTATTTTTTTTTTAATTATTTAAAAAGGAGATTATTGTGAATTTTAATAGATAAAATCTAATTATTACTTTGTCTTTTTACTATTTGAATTAAAAACTATTTTATTTTTTTTAAAAGTAGTATGGTAAGTAGTATGGGAAGTAGTATGGGAAGTAGTATGGGAAGTCGTATGGTAAGTAGTATGGGAAGTCGTATGGGAAGTAGTATGGGAAGTAGTATGGGAAGTAGTATGGGAAGTAGTATGGGAAGTAGTATGGGAAGTAGTATGGGAAGTCGTATGGGAAGTCGTATGGGAAGTAGTATGGGAAGTAGTATGGGAAGTAGTATGGGAAGTCGTATGGGAAGTCGTATGGGAAGTAGTATGGGAAGTAGTATGGGAAGTAGTATGGGAAGTCGTATGGGAAGTAGTATTGGAAGTAGTATGGGAAGTCGTATGGGAAGTCGTATGGGAAGTAGTATGGGAAGCAGTATGGGAAGTAGTATGGGAAGTAGTATGGGAAGTAGTATGGGAAGTAGTATGGGAAGTAGTATGGGAAGTAGTATGGGAAGTAGTATGGGAAGTAGTATGGGAAGTAGTATGGGAAGTAGTATGGGAAGCCGTATGGGAAGTCGTATGGGAAGTAGTATGGGAAGTAGTATGGGAAGTAGTATGGGAAGTAGTATGGGAAGTAGTATGGGAAGAAGTGTGGGAAGTAGCATGAGAAGTAGTATGGGAAGTAGTATGAGAAGTAGTATGGGAAGTAGTATGAGAAGTAGTATGGGAAGTAGTATGGGAAGTAGTATGGAAAGTAGTATGGGAAGTAGTATGTGAAGTAGTATGGGAAGTAGTATGGGAAGCCGTATGGGAAGTCGTATGGGAAGTAGTATGGGAAGTAGTATGGAAAGTAGTATGGGAAGTAGTATGTGAAGTAGTATGGGAAGTAGTATGGGAAGCCGTATGGGAAGTCGTATGGGAAGTAGTATGGGAAGTAGTATGGGAAGTAGTATGGGAAGTAGTATGGGAAGTAGTATGGGAAGAAGTGTGGGAAGTAGCATGAGAAGTAGTATGGGAAGTAGTATGAGAAGTAGTATGGGAAGTAGTATGAGAAGTAGTATGGGAAGTAGTATGGGAAGTAGTATGAGAAGTAGTATGGGAAGTAGTATGGAAAGTAGTATGGGAAGTCGTATGGGAGGTAGTATGGGAATTAGTATGAGAAGTAGTATGGGAAGTCGTATGGGAAGTAGTATGGGAAGTAGCTAGTCAGTAGTATGGTAATATTTTTAGGTGACGTTTGGCTTTATTAGATACAGGACCTTCTACCCCCACCCTTTGGGTGGTGGACGCCAAGACCCCTCCCCAACCCAGGAACAAGACCAATGATTCGGTAAATTTTGTATGTGGTCAGCGTTGGTCATGCCAGCAGGGACGTCATTTTGGGGAGGGCATGGTGGGCCATTCCAATCCCCCCCCCCTAAGTTGCAGGTTTTATTTAATTTGCTAATATATTTACTTTGTGGGCGTCCATTAATTACGTCAACAATTTTAAAGCAATTTTTGACTCCCTCCCCCCCCCCTTTGTCAACAACTATCAAACTTTCAATGACCCCCCTCCTCTAAATAATGATGTCAACATTGTTATAACCCCCACCCCTACCCCAAAATGAATTATAATAAAAATAAATATATGCATACATTTTATTTTGTGCTGATCTAATATCAATAGCACACAATTGTAGGAAACACATTTTATTGCATCTTTAGCTTGTTAATCAACAGGTTAAAAAGTTTTTACAATTAAATTTTACAATGCAGAATCAATGAAAAGGTTATCAAAGACTAAACATCATGATTTGTAGACGCATAAATATGATTATTTTCAGTATAGCTGACAATAATTGTAGCATAGGTTTTAGCTGCTAACATCTTCGCAGGGAGTAGACAGGTGTCGCTCTATCGTAACAATGAGCATAGTAGCTGATTTATCATTTTCATCTTGCTAAACTGATATACCAAACAAGTCAACATCAGCCTCATCTAACCATTCAGCAGTTAAAATAGAAGCATTGTCAGTGTGAGCAATAATTGCCATAAGATCTCTCTGTCTACTGGCAGGTGCTTGCTTTAGTCGCATCCTTTTTTTTTTATTGAGTAGCAGGGGGTAATTTCGTATGCATTGTCGGTGCTGTTGAACATGACTTGTGATGCAAAATAGATTTTACAGATTTTGCAAATCCGTTCAAGCAGCGATGTAATTATTGTTGCTCACTTAACGTTCCCCTAATTTTAACAAAATCATATTCCTACTCTATCAATATCATTTATCTTGACTGCAAAGGACACTTGAACCTTGTACTTGTTCCATACCTGCAAACATACCGCCAATTGGCGACAATCAGAATCTAAAGGCGAAGAGAGGCCAACTTTTGACTTCTCTTGCACTAACAAAGTGTGCTGGACGTTATGACGAGCCATCGGCAGTGCACAGACCGACACACATTAAATAAATCTTAAACTGTTAAAAGCCTAATAATTATGTAACTATTTTAAATTACACTCATTAAATTTGTTAAAATAATGTAATAGCCAGTCAATTTTTAATATTAACATTTTAATAGAGAAAACATGATTGTTGACGTCAACTAATCTACCCCTCCTCCCCCTAGACAACAATTGTAAAAAAAAAAAAAACTACATTTCCAAACCCTCTCCCCATATTTCGTTGACATAATTAATTGATGACCCTTGTGGCGCCTCCAGTAATAAACAACCCAAGTTTTGGTTTTGCTCCCCCCCCCCTCTTTGAAAAAACTGAAATGACGCTCCTGCATGCCAGGCATGGTATTAGTGTTTATTTCGGTAGTTCATTTTTAATATTGGTAATTTATTTTAAAATGTACAAATTAAATAAAAATGTGAGAGATCAGAGCTGGATAGCAAAGTATTTCACTTATCCCATTAAATTTTAAATTATCAAATCCCATGATTATTCGAAAAATGAATATTAGTAGTCCTATAATTTTAATTTTGGTTTTAACTCTTAAAATCCATATGATGATTTAAGGGGTGGGGGTGGGGGACAGGTTTAGGTAGAAGTCGTTGTGTGAAGTAACATATGAGAAAACCTGGGGGGAAAGGATGCAACAAAACAGTAAAATGTCGGGAAGAAGCTTAAGTCAGCAAACGAATGAAGACCAGCACAAATAGAAAAATGTAAGATTAGCTGAAATGTTGTATACGAGACGTTGTAGACCACAGGACAGCAATAAGCAAATTCATTGATAGATTCAGGGACATATTATTTTGGAAGTTTTGAACAAGTTTTTACAATTTTCAGAAAGTATTTTTAAATTTTTTTTTAGTTGTAAGTGTAAGTTTATGTGTGTGAAAAAGAAACAAAAAATATCAAAACCCAATGATGTGAGAACGTAAATTTCTATACATTGATTTGTCTTTAAAAATAACTTAAGTCTAATGTACTATTTCCTACATATACAATACAAGGGCTTATTTTTTATTTTTTTTTTTTAGGATACAATAAATCAAAACTTGATTCAGATACATTGAGACTTCGCTAGAACATCTTGAAAGCAGCGCAATATTCCATCAACTATTAACCCGGGAACAGAGGGTCATATATTCTAATTTATAAAATTGGCTTACTAGATACGCATTAAACCCAATGTAATACAACGTCACCATACTTATAGACAAAATGGAAAAATGTAAACAAATGCAGTAGCGTACAGTTTAAGCGGTTTTAAACAAAATGCAATCTTTTCATGTCTCTTATCCTCTTGTATCTTGTATGAATAGAAAAATGAACTACATTGCTTAAAGTGGCAATGGAAAGTGATGATGAAGATGTAGTTTTTGAGGTAATAACAAAAGTCTCAACGTTATTATTAATAAAAGTATAATGTTTTAAAAAACGAAGTGGTTATTTTCGGACCCTGCTTGGAGAAGTTAGAGTTAGAGGTTGGGATTAAAAAATGTTTACAATTTTTAAAATATTATATTAATTAAGTTGGGATTTTGTAAGATAATGATAAAGGTATATATGTTGTAAATTTTGAGAGAAGATGCCACATGGCCACCATCTTGGTTGACAAGACCAGTTAATTCTGTCACTAAATCTAAGTAAATGTATCCCTAAACCTAACCTCCTAAACCCTAATTTAATACTTTAATAATAATAATAACTTTAATAAACACACAATTGTGTGTGTGGCATCCTCAACTAGTTTTAGCGGTATATGTTTGTAAGTTTAATTCTTCAGTTTAACTAAAATAAACTACCACAAATGACATCCAATTAGCATTTAGTCAAAATGGAACCGGACACGCATCACCGCTATTCGGGACAGGGTCCCATGTTGTCCCATGAGACTAAATGCTGTTCGGATGTCATTTGTGCATTTGGGTAATTCTTAGAGATCATCCCGTTTCGTCATTTAGGTTTAGCTTAGGGATACATTTAGCATTCAGGTTAGGTTTAGGGATACATTTAGTGACAGAATTAACTGGTTGTGTCATCCAAGATGGCGGCCATCGCGGGACGATCTCTAATAATTTACCGTGCATTTAATTTATGGTAGTTTATTTTAGTTAAACTGAAGAATAAGGTTTGCAAACATATAGTCCATTCAATTATCTTTCATTTGATACCAAATTTTATTTTACAAACCCAACAATAATTATTTAAATATTTTTTATTAAGCCCAACCTGACCTCTCACTTCTGATACCGGGTCCGATTAGCCACAGCGTTAAAAAAAATGATAAATTTGAAAACAATTTAATATTTAGACTAGGCCCGCCTAATTAATTCCTTTTTCATTTATTAAATAAGATAAGTAAAGTAACATACACAAAGTAAAGTTTACATTTACATTCATTTAGTTTTACTAAAAGTAAAATTTTAGTACGGTATTTTGACTAGGAGACATGACATCAGGCTCATCACTCATTAGCATAAGGCGAAGGCATTGGGCGGGGCATAGCTAATTATAATTAATAAAGCAAAAAAATTTACAAATAAGCCATTGTTTATTGCTCCTTATAATTTATATTGCGTCAAAGAAAGTATAAGGCAAATGTTGATCTGTGTGGCCTTTAGAATCATCATAAGAATGATATATGTAACAGTTATTGATAATTAAATTATTGCAACAAAAACACTATTATGTGTTCTTGTTCTCTCTCATCTTTCCAGTAGTTGTGTTATGATACACCAAAAAACTTTGTAGAAAAACTGCAAAAAAGTTGAAACTCTGCTGCTAGATTAGTTCTAAAGGCAAAGAAACATGATCATCATGATCTTGTCACTCCACTTCTTCACTCACTTCATTGGCTCCCTTTACAGGCACACCTTGATTACAAGCTGTCACAACTTTTTCTCTGGTTCCTGCCCTTCCTATCCTAATGAACTTCTTTCTGTCTATTGCCCCCTTTGACAGCTTCGTTCCTCTGTATATTCTTTCTGTTTCCAAGACACGCACTAAACATATGGTGAACAATCTTTCTCTTTCTGTGCCCTCAAACAATGGAATTCCCTCCCATTACACATTCGCAATATACTGACCACCCAAGCTTTCAAAACTGCACTCAAGACACATCTCTTCAAACTCTACTGTTCCGACTCATTCTCACCCTGCTCTGACCAATAAACAATGCTCTATGCTGCTGGGTGCCGTTCATGGCTAGTCATGGGTGAAAAGTACTTGGGTGGGCGAGGTCAATATCTTTACACAGCTGTATTTAAATGACTAATATTATGTACCGGTACCAGTAATTGTCTTTTAATGCCATGTTTCTTTTTTTATTTCTTTTTTGATAATTTTTATGTGAAGCTTGTCGAGCCTGGGGTACCGCGCTATATAAGACCACTTTAATAATAATAATAAGGAATCAGTTTGATTTAACACTCTCCCTTCTAATACTTTGTCACTAATAATTTTAATACATAACGCAAATAGTTTCTTAAAGCCCATTAATTACACCATTAACTTGCCTCACCCAATTTATGCTGCACCTTTTTAAACAAAATAAAGTTTTATAATTTTATTTAAATATTATTTTATATCTTTTATAAATGTAAAATTATGTTTTACCAATTTATGGTCCCATCCCCCCCTCCCCCCTTTTTTTTTTCTCTCTCCAGAATTCAGTGTTACACCAAGCATTACTGGACTGTGGCATCACAGATTTAGAGACAGAAACTAGGAACTCCGAGGTGCAAGTTCAAGAAATCAATGGTCATTGCCCGAGGGAAGCCAATCACAAAAGCAATGTCAATGTCAGCTGTAATAAAGAGATAACAAACTGTTTTAGCCCTTTAGCTTATCTATTCTGTACACCTGAAGAGCTTCTACAATGGGTTTGTTCACATTTTATTGTTTTTTTCCTTTTAATAAATTGTAATAAATACACTCAAACAATTCTTTATATAAAATTTATTTTTAAAAATGTATCCGTTATTGTAGGGAAGTGATGAAGCGTGAACAAAAACTACTTGAATATTTTAATTAAATGCTTTAGAAAAAAATGACCTACCAAGATTGCTTTAAAAAAAAAATATTCGTCAATGATGAGTTTGAGAAGGAAGAAACCAAAAAAGTTAACTAAGCACAGTTCTTTATGTATTGATAGCATACACACCATCATCTCTTTCACTCTTTTCAGAAATCAAATGACAGCTTTTTAAACATAGTTTTTGGGAAGTTTGTGAGGACCTAAGTCATCCAACCTTAGTTCTACAACTTCAATTCAAACGCATTGATTAATTAAAACTAAGGCCCTGTGATCATAATTACAAAAAAATTTTATAACCCTTTTTGTCTCTTTGCATAATATAGTAATAATATTTAGTTTAAATTTTTCACATTAGCTTTGAAAATGTGCGACATTGTAACCATTTCAATGATTTCCAGCACAGCCACCACAGATATCAGACCTTGTGTCGACTGATAAGCTCTCCTCTGCTTGCCGAAGAAGACAAATCATTTCTCCAGTATTTTATGGAAGAGGAAGAGCCTTGCAGTGATCTCTCATGTACAAAAAGATTGTTCTCTCTACCTCTAATTGGGTGATTGTACATTTTAATAATACCATTCAATAAAATCTATTGTCTGTATGCTACATCTACATATTGTTCAACCTCTCTATCTACCAATACCTTCAAAACTCAATGAGTATAATAAGGTACAAATATAATGTGTAAATGTGGCACATGACCTGAGGTATACCAAATCTTATAGTATTTATAAATATTTGTAAAGAGAAAGTTTGAAAGCATGTTCCTTCTTAGCTCCATATATCATTTGCTGTGTACTGTAAAAATGTATCAAGAAATTCAGTTTAAATGGTTTATTTTTAATGATGCATTTACTTTTCCAAGCTTGTGAATACTCTAAAATTAGCTTATCCAACAAAAATATTGCCTATTTTCTTAATTGTGAAACAAATTTTACTGTTTTTATTTCAGGATCCTCCTCTTGACTCTTGCCTCCATAAATCTCCTGGATGTGCCATTGCTGGTGTCACCGTGGCTCACCTTGTTCTTCAGCTTGGTCTTTCCCTTCACATGCCTGCAGTCTCACTCTTTTTGGCTCAGCGTCATTTCTGTCAATTGCCTGGTTCTGATAATGTATGGCGTAACTCTGACTGCTGTAGTATCTGGCATCAAGTCCAAGGTAAAAAAAAAATACCTCTCTCTTGTGATCTGTTTTGATCTACCGTGCACCAAAAAATAGCTTAAAAAAAATATTGTCATTATATCGAGCTGTTTTTTGCTCTTTCTTTATATTATAAAATGTTAGAGGGAAGACTGAAGTAAATAAGGATACATACAAAAATTTAGGGAATGGGGAAACATTATACAAGAGAAAGAAAAGGCCAAAATCACCTGAAATAAATCAGAAATAGCTCTAGAGGAAATACTTAACTAAGATCTGTTTTAATGCAAAATAAAGTTCTTGTTTTTATTTTTTTAGATTAAGTGTTAAGTATTTATTAAGAACACCTTTCATTCTTGGTAACACATATATGTGTGAGAAATTTCTGTTAAATTTTCTTATCTTTTTTTTTTGAAGCTCAAGCATATTTATTTACTTCCCATTGCTTGAATGCAGTCCCCTATATATTAACAAAATACAGAGAGACATTTTAAACACATCAAATAATTGAAGACATAACTTATCTCATCATTCAATGCATCTTTGCTCTTGTTTTTCAGGTTTTATCGCAGCTCAAGAACAAGGACGAATTGATAAAAAATGTAGAAGTGATTGCCTGGGAGCTTCTGTACCTGGAAAAAAAATGTTTGCGACTGTTACAAGAGTCAGAGCTTGTAGCCAGGGGATTCACTTTGTAAGTTTTGGGAGGAATTGAAATTTTTAATTACTTTTCTCTGTAAACTTTACAAATCGCTTAATATGAGGCACCTAAAAATCTTTTTACAAATTTAATGCTTTGTGATATCAAAAGCAAAGTCAAGCAAGAGATTATACATTTTAAATTCCAAAACAGCTAATAACTTAAGCTTCAGTGACAGAAATTTTACTTATGCACAAATTTAGGCACCACAGATTTTACAAGAATTTCAAGACTATGAAAACAAAAACAAGACTAGGAAATTCAAGTGGAAAAGTCATAAGATTCATTACTAACATATCATGGCAAGAAGTATATTAATCCAAGAGTATATTAATGCGCCTAATCTTTTCATATATTAAACTTATGATTTTGATTTAAAGAAAAAAAAGGAGTCTCCTTACATTAAACGTTCCTCTTGGTGAAAGTACTTTATATGAACCCACTCACATTCTTATCACATCTGGCTAAAAAATGAATGAAACCTTGAAATATTTCCTGTTCACTCTTCCCAACAGTGCCACAGGCCAACATGTTGCCTCCAGGATCAGACGTGGCCTCACAGAGGTCACTGACCAGCTGTGTCCCCAGCTAAGGGAGGTCATGTTTACAGAAAACATAGCGTTGATGGCTGAGTTGAAGAAATGGGTGGTCAAAATGATGAGAAAGTATCCTTTGCATGCATCAATCAGTTGTCATGCAGAATTTAATCAGTTTTCAAATTATAAATAACCTGTAAGCAGGGAGAGAATCGTGTACAAAATTCTTTATAATATATAAATTAAAAAAATAATAAAATAATTGTTGAAAAATTATTCATAAATGAAAGTACATAATTTTTAAAGAGACTTCTCTCCTTCAAAGGTTGGCTCTACAATTCCGTCAAAAATTAAAAATGTCTTAAAATCCAGACTAGCAGACTTTAAAATAAATTTCTCATGGTTCATTCAAATGATTAACAAATGTATTTGCACTTTTCTTAGAAATATAATCTCAGACTTTTTTTTTATATCCATTAAAATAACCTAAAACTTTATTCATTGCTGAAAATTTGTTAATCTGCATTGGCTTGGTATCTTAACAATGTGCTTTTAATCTTAAAATGACGAGAGCAGAAACAAATCAAATTTACTTGAAGTTGAACTGTACGCCAATCAAACAACTGCCATTTACATTTTTCTGCATTAACCCTTTACAGTCCGATGCGCCCGAAATGCGCCGATTTTTTCCTTAAGCGTACAGTCCGATGCGGCCAAACCCGCCCGTTTCGAGGTTGTTTACTTTCGTTCTTAGCACAGCGGAAGTCCATTGCGCATTACTATTTATAGTTCTACCGGAAGAAAGCCTCGTTGTCGGCATTTATTTCGATACTACTTTGACCGCGGTGTGTTTAGGGGCTGATTTTCTAGGATTTTTTTTAAAAGTCGCGATTTTTTCGCTGTAAAAAATGGCTATCTAAGCCTTGGATACACCTTTGAAAGAACTTAGGCCTAATGAAGCTTCACTATTTCATGAGTGGGAGGGTCTCTGAAACTATTTTTAGGTTTAACTTTTGCTTTAATAATTTCTTTGTATTTAGGTATTTTTTATTTTATTTTGTTGCTTCTAGTTTATTTTCTGAAAATTAATTAGATAAAGAACCTTCATTTAAAATGGAGTTATGTCCCCTTGCTTGGGCGCTGGGAGTAGACAAGGCTGAATAGGGTTGGACTGTAAAGGGTTAAAGTTGATCTTTGTTCCAATGTTCTTCTCTTCACCACAGTCAGTCTTATAACAATAATAAAATATCCACACAAAAAATCAATTTATTTAGTTTATTTCTAACTGATGTTAGTCGTGTTAGTCCAACTGCCAGGTCTGTTTCACATTATCCTTAAACTTTTTTAGTTTACCAATGATCTGCAATGATTCCGACTTCAGCACATTGGAAAGAGTAAGTCTTGATCAGGAAAGCTGTGATGGCATGGAGGGTTTGGATCCAGGCAGCGGCCAAGAGAGTGTCATAACTAACGAGGGGGAGACATGCGACCCGGCAAACAATGAGGCAGCAGGCGACGTCGATGGATGCGAGGACCGACGGCACAAAGATGTTATCCCCCTTGCAAAACTGAGTGTAAGCCCTTGTGATTATTGTAGATTTAAAAAATAAAAAAATAAACAAACCTTTAAGTAAATGCAGTGGCGCCATGCTGGACAGACTTGGTTCGTTCTTGGATCTCGCTCATTGTGTGATTGATGTGTTGTGATTTTGCATGCCTGCCCACTGATCTGTTCTGTGGGCTATTCAATCTACTAGGCCCGTGGTTTCTCAAATTGGGTGGTACAGCCCCCCTGGGATGGCTGGATGTACCATTGAGGGGCAGCAAAATGCTTAGTACATTTAGGAAGGCATTAAGCTTAAGGGGGCTATGGTAGTGTTTTACAAAATGATCAGATCATTACTGGTAGCAAACTTGAAAATTAGTCATCGATTTACATAAGTCAAATAGTTATTTAGAAGAGAAAAGTGGGGGGGGGGGGGGGTTTACAAGATACAAAAAGATAAGTAGCATTACGAAGGTTTGTTTTATCTAGTGTGGCAAACCCAAGGGCTGACCTGATGCAACCTTCTCTCATGGCAATCCACTCTGGTGGCACTCTGCTCTGTCTGTGGCATTCTGTTCTGGAGGCACCTGCTGTGGTAACACCCTTGCTCTGGCATTAACCAGATCTGTCTGGTGTGTGTGTTGTCGCCGCCCCCCCACCCCGTTCTGATGACAACCTGACCTGGAGACACCCTGCTTATGTAATTTAAACAGAGTTCTCCTTTTGAAATGGGCTTGAGAGACTATTGCCAAAGTTGCAGTTTTCTATTTGGTATCACACGCGCCACCACACCCCCCCGTGTCCTCCGCACTCTATTGTAAAGCTACAGCTTTCTTGTTGTGACTAATTGAAAATCGTACATGAAACTCTGTCAGAGTGATTTTAGGATCTTCTTTGATTTAAATTTAGTTTGGCTGATAAATCTACGGCTAGTTATCCATCAAAATAATCAAATCCATCTGCAGCTGTTTCAAAGCCAATGCTAAAGCTTAGCACATCATTCTTTAGGGTTTAGAGTTTCGACTTCAGAATAAATTTTTTTGGTCATTATCATGCACTATTGAAAATGGTCAAAAGGCCCTGTCTTGCAAAGGAATAATATTCATATGGCTGAAAGTTTTGAAATAGGTGTGTTCAAAAGTTGTTTTAAACCAGACATGGAAGAAATGGCATCACTTTATTAAGGCCATCCACAGCATACAGTTGGTATAATAGAGCAATGCTTCTGCCTGTGCATCACTTTTGCTGCTCTACAATACGGTATCCTTTCAATATGTCCTGCTCATCGCAGTCCTCCGTTTTTTTTTATTGTTTCGACTATGGGTGGGTCTTTGTACAATTGGTATTGCTCTTGGTGTGTACAGATACTCCAGACATCATTTTCTATCAACTTTTATGGGGATGGGACAAAATTTATGTTAAGCTCTTCAGGTGTATTTTTACATTGCAACTAATTATAGCACTTTATTGTATCATGAGTTTAAAATTAAGAGGATTGAGCAGACACGGGTATTCATTTAGAGATTATATTTATTAACATTGTACGTTTTTGACCGCAATATTACGTTTGGTCCAATGAGCCTTTGAACAGTCCTTGTTTCTGTATTTCTGTAGAAATTAAAAAAAAAAAAAAATACTCCATGCTGTCCATTTAACTAATTCATGCTAGAGCTTTAAAAAAAAAAAAAAATAATTTTAAAAATCAAAAAATCTTTTAAAAAAAATTAAAAATTTTTGACCGGAATATTACGTTTGGGCCAATGAGCCTTTGAAAAGTCCTTGTTTCTGTATTTCTGTAGAAAATAAAAAAAAAAAAAAATGCTCCATGCTGTCCATTTAACTAATTCATGCTAGAGCTTTAAAAAAAAAAAAAAATAATTTTAAAAATCAAAGTATCCTTTAGAAAAAATTAAAACAATTTTTCATTGGAAGTAATTTTGGGAAAAAAAGGGTGTTTCTTTTTTAAACTTCTGTTTATGTTTTGAGCATGAAAAGTGTTCACACAAAAAACACACAGTTTTCCCCACCCTATAAAACTCAGCAACTTTTAATATTTCTGATCACATTTTATTTTCATCTGATGGCTTTTTTTTAATCTGAAATGCTTTTAATATGAAAGTTTTATTAAACTAATTTTATTAACTGGTAAGGCATTACTTTGCTCTTTGCTGTGTCTATAATGAATTGAGATGGCTACAATGTTGTTGACTGATTTCATCATGTCTGTTGAATAACAAATTTTGTATCTTTGTTTACAGAAGTCAGTGGCCCTTCTCCACATCTACATTTCAGGATTTTTGAGGAGACTTGCTCTGTGTTTTTATGTTCAGAATTTTAAAGGTAGGTGTCTGAAATTAGATCATTTTTGTGCTTGAATTTTTTTTAATTGTTTTTCTTTGGAAGTATTGTGCAGTTTTTTTAGAAATAGCTAGTGATAAATTTCAATTGCTTATCAGAGTGGACTGTCGGGTATAAGAACTAGGCATTTTATTTTATTTTGGCTATACCTATTTAGACTTGGTTTTCTATTTAAGCTTTAAAATTTTCTGCCTGTGACCTCAGAAATTTTTGGAATAATCCCGAGACGTGCCCTGAATACAAATTGAATTCCGAGTTTTCACATTTTCAGGCTTGGCCGCCATTTCATTACTTCAATAAGAATTTTAATTACACCATTGCCAGTTCGATTTATTAACTGACGTGGCACTTTTTGTTAGAATTAAAATGTAAGTGTGGAAACAAGATCTGGGTTTTAACTATTTGTGCTGATTATTAAACTTTGAAAAGGAGCTTATCTCCAATCCATGGATCAGAGAGGTCCTCGGAGTAATGCTTACTTCCAGGCTATGATTAATGGCCCTGTATTAGCTTTCTACCGCAGCTTACCATGTTCCCTGATTTTTACGAACTTTTATGAAATTATCAACACCAGATTTCATATAAATACATTTTTTTTTAAATTGTTGGAAAAACTCCATTCCTATGTTCACTTTTCAATGTTTTTTTGCAGATAAAAGTATAGACCCTTACACGGCAACAGCAGAGTGTGTAGAACACTCAATAAAAGCATTTGTAAGAGCCAAGTGGGCTCTGACTCAGTCACATACTTTCTACAGAGCAATCCATCTGTCTTACAGTGAAAAGGGTTGTGCCAAGATGGACAGGCTAAGGCTAAACAATGAGCTTCGTAACATTTACGCCCACCTAAACAACCTGGATCTTCAACTGGCCAGTCTGACCAGAAGGTAAGGATTCCATTTCACCTTGTCTTCATGTGATTAAAAACTGCTTAAATCCATGTGTCTAATTTATGGAAATCTCTTTCTAATTCCGGGTTGAACCTGTTGGCAGCCGGTCGCATTGACCTGCTTGTTGGCAGCCGGTCGCATTGACCTGCTTGTTGGCAGCCGGTCGCATTGACCTGCTTGTTGGCAGCCGGTCGCATTGACCTGCTTGTTGGCAGATGGTTGCATTGACCTGCTTGTTGGCAGATGGTTGCATTGACCTGCTTGTTGGCAGCTGGTCGCAAAGACCTGCTTGTTGGCAGCCGGTTGCATTGACCTGCCTGTTTGCAGCTGGTCGCAATAGCCTGCCTGTTTGCAGCTGGTCGCAATAGCCTGCCTGTTGGCAGGAGATCACGTTGACCTGCTAGGTCGCACTCATTTTCTCATTCTGATGTGGAGAATGGTACAAGAACATGCATAATTTAATAATGTCTGGTAAGTCTGCAGACCATAAAATGCAGTGAGACTTCTTTAATTTCATTCCTATGAACTTCTTGAGCCAAAGTTCAAATGTTACCTTGGGCAATTCTCTATTCAGGTTGAGAGGGGTTGTGATAGCCTTAGAGGTTCGCATGGAAGCTGAATCAAAGAGCAACTTGAATCTAGGTGGTGCTACTGCGGCAGCAATCGATACCCCATTGGACAGGAGTGCAATAGTTGATGCTCTACAGCAAGTGAAGGAGACACTAGAGATGTGCAAAGACTGTTATGAGGAGGCTGTGGCTCATATGCAACGAAGATTGGATTTGGGTAGGAACCTTTTTTTTTTAAAGAAACTTTTTTTTTTTTTAAATTCATTGTCATTAGGACAGATGTTTAGAGACCTGTGTGTGACTCGCCACAAAAACATGGTTCTTCACAGCTTTTTGCAAAAAAAATTTGGCTCTTGAAAAAAAATTGTCCTGCAACAGATTTTTGGCACTTTTGACCGAGTAAGACATCAACATTTTTTTTTTTGGGTAGGTTATCAGGATATTCAAGTTTAATTGTCTTTATGACATACTAGTTTTTTTTTAATTCCATGGGACAGGACTTATGATCAGGAATGACTACTGTTGTCTGCCTTTGATTTTTAGGAGTCCCGTACCAAAATTTTTCAACAGAAATTGTTACATTTGGCAGTGGTTGTTGGTCGGGTGCCTATAATGAATAAATGCTTCCCCTTTCATTAAAATATTCTGTTTAACTAATCTATACAGTTTAAATTGTCAGCCCCTGCCTATGTTTCCCTAAATATATAATTTTAAAAAAAACTCTTCACTCACAAGGTTACTGACTGTGTTGAAGTGGAACCACTCTCAAAGAATGTCACACCTGCTCATGTCTAAGGGTATCATGATATAACAAATTCACACGCCATGGGACATAATTATCTTATTCATTTATGCTTACCTATCAAAGACTTCAAAACACAATTTCACAAATAATATGAACTTATTTATTTACACGTATTCCAATATATTCTATGATAGCCAAGGATAGTTCAATTCGCTGGTCAGAATGTTAGCGGTTCACATGGGGTGACGGCAATCAATGGGGGGAATTATTCGTCCTGAACTCAAATAGGTGGGGTGGGGGGGCGGTGTTACAAGGTTTGAGTTCAGGGTACATTGAGTTAATTTGAATTCTGGCTAGGGGTTGCCGACCCCCCCCCCACCCCCGTCTATGGGTTGCTGGCCTTTGAGCTATAGCTGGCTGACCCTCTGGCTATGGGTTGCCCTCCCTCGGGGCTAAGATTGGCTTTTTCTCTATCCAATTCCTATTGGCAATTATGTTGGGACAATTTCCTAATGGCTGTGTAATTTCTGCTCATTGCCACATAAAAATGAATGATTCAAGTTTTCTATAATCTAGATTTATTTATTTGTAATACTTTTATGTGTGGTGACAACTTGCTAGTCAAGTCCCACAACCCAAAATGAAAGTTATAATCTTACACTATATTTTTTGCTTACCATTCACCTGTTGTATAAAGAGCTGACAGAACAATGGCCTTGAAACTGTAAATAATTATTTGTGCCTTACTTGAATATTAAGATATCCCCTACAGAAAAATTGTGGTTACACTTACCTGTATAAAAATGCACCTTACATATTTTTCACATTTATAAATTTCTAGGCGGAAAAAATAGTTGTTTGAGTTGTCTGAGTTGGAAAAGTTGGAAAAATGAGACAGTTTGGTGTCACTAGATTTTGAAAATGTTTACTGTATTTCCAGATTGGGGGGGGGGGTTGTTTTTGTATACCAGGTATGCTTTTAAGCTGTGGTAATGTAAAAAATCTGTTGTACACTGTTAATTGTTTAAGTTGGGGGTTTCAGTATGGAATAATCCTATTGAAAAATTATTTTTTTTTACTTAGCGGCTCAAGGTATATCAACAAGGCCAGTTCAAGTCCCAGCCACCCCAAGGAAAAAACCCTCATCTGATGTGAGAGTCATTCCACATGTGGATCACATCATTCAAGATGAGGTTTGTATACCATAATAAATAGTAAGGTTTGGTTTGGAAACATTTGTCCCTGGGGATTGGGCATGACTTGGATTGGGCATGACTTGGATTGGGCATGACTTGGATTGGGCATGACTTGGATTGGGCATGACTTGGATTGGGCATGACTTGGATTGGGCATGACTTGGATTGGGCATGACTGGATTGGGCATGACTTGGATTGGGCATGACTTGGATTGGGCATGACTTGGATTGGGCATGACTTGGATTGGGCATGACTTGGATTGGGCATGACTTGGATTGGGCATGACTTGGATTGGGCATGACTTGGATTGGGCATGACTGGGGCAGGGCATGACTAGGATCAAATATTTGATTCACTGAAAGTTTCATTTCTTCTTGACCAACTTTCCTCTTAGCTTTAAAACATGTTTGAAGTTTTATTGTTCTACTATTGAACTTGCAGGTGTTTGAGGCCACCACATCGGCAGAAGACGACGATCATGCAGACAATCCAAGAAGACGGCCCCTTTCTGAAGAGTCCAAAGTAAGTGAAATCGGTTCAGTTTCTTGCGTGTGTATCAAGCTTAAAGTACTTGCCAGAAAATAGCTCTTCTGAGTTAATCCAGTACAAATATATATTTTTTTCTTCTATAACATTTGATCATTCCTATTTGGTTATTGAGCGTATCCCATTAGTTTGATCCAGTGGCTCCAGTGTTATAAAAAAAAATGCTAATATGTGCCACCATGGGCGGTTTTCCATTTCAGAGCTTGTAACACAATGTATATGTCCCCCAATTATATATAATGCATCACTTTTATGTATAACATATCTCTGTATCTTTTTGTACCACCTGAAACAATTTTACATGAAGTTTGATAAACATCTGACTAGTCTGTAGATTTGTTTGAAAATTATGTTGAAACTACACAAATTCTTGAACCCATCGGTCACATTATAGAGTTTATGAAACGTCAAAAGCACAATAGATTTATTTATTAATTTTTTTGGTACATTCACTCAGGCAAAAGAAGCGTCACTGAATGAAAACATGAAGAGGTTTAAAAAAGAGCTCAAAACAGTGGTCAAAAAGATTGGCGTCACTCATCGTCAAAGAGAGGAAGTGGCTCTGGCCCGGTCAAGGGACATTTTCGATGAAGTCCCCACCGTCGCTCGGCACAATCTAGATTCCAGCGCTATCCTGGTCCAATCGTTGAGGGAACAAGCAAGTGCAGAAGCGCTGGCCAGGGGCTGGGCTTTTGAAGGTGGGGCATCTGTCATGGGGGATGGCATGTCCCCTTCATCTGTTCTGGCCGACGATCAGGATCAGGACCCGCCGAGGCGACCCCTTCCCGTGCCATTTCCCAATCTAAATGACTTGGATGAAGGAGCACCTTCACAGTCACCGTTCACTTTCAGACCTATTCAAAGACCTCTTCAAGGGGGTGCAGGAAGTTGTATGGACCTTTCATTATTCCCAGCATTATTCCCAGCGTCTTTAAATCCTGATGAATGTGGTCAGGATTCCAAGCCAGCAGGATTACTTAATGATGTAGACCTCAGCAGCCAGTCGTCTGGTGAGGCCCAGCCTAAATCAACCACATCCAATTCCGAGTCTCCAGATGAAGAACCAGCCGTTAAAAAAACTCCAAAGAAATCTGCCTCTGCAAAGAAACAGAAGACGCCCAGGAAGCATCACAGGCCACAAGCCAGGCGGTTGGAGTTCGATCTGGCTATGAATGTCTCCAGATTAGATAGGGGCCACTGGGAGAAATGCAAAGCCGTGCTTCACATACCAGCTGATGCATCCAGCAGCGGCAGTGCCCCCAGCACCCAAAGCACAAGTCCCAGTACTGGTGAACGGAACAGGGACAGTGAGGACTTAACTGGCCACTTGGAAATGTCCGGAGAGTTCAATCCATTAGGTGGTGGGTCAGTGGGTGGTGAATCGAATCTTTCAGGGGCGGCTGGAGGCCCCCTGCAGTCCTCTTCCTCATCTTCATCCGGTGGGCTGTTGAGCTCTCAGATCAACTGTCCCACGAGCGTGAACCCAGAGAGAGAAGGCTTTAGGAACGTGGGAGGTTCTTACCTCTCCAGGCACAATTTCACGGCCAGTGAGAGGGAGACAAACCTGTATCATGCCAAAATGGACTATACTTCATCAGACTCTTCGGCAGAACAGGGAGCTTCCGGGGCAACTGGGGGGCGGCGTGCCGGTATTTTGAATCCTGCGTCATCCGGTGATAGAGCTGATGTCGACTCAGATCCGAACGAGTGGGTGAAGATATCCCAGAGGCAGGTGATCACGGCACACGGCAGCAAGATTGACATTCTTCGCCAAAAGACAGTCCATGTTGGCGACGCACGGTCATCGCCACCTGTTTCATCATCTGATTCAGAATCCAGTTTCTCAAAGAGTCTTGCTCTTCTCGCTGCTGAGAAGGCAAAAGGCATGGACATACCAGGACAGCATGAAGAGAAGTTTGGAGAATCTTCAGATGAGGATACTCTGTACTAACCAGTCCTCAAATTTGTCAGGGAATATTTGCTTGCAATTATTGTATAGGAATGTCAGTTGGTGGATATTTAGCCGCTCATAAATGTTTAGAATTTTTTAAAGTTTTGTTTCATACATTATCCCCATCATTTGGATATCATCTAATTCAACGCTAATTTTGTTTTGGGACTCAGAAATTAGTCAAAAGGGGTAAATTGGTGCTTGGTAATATACGAATGGACCCCCCCATTGGCGTAGCTAGGGTGAGTGTCCACAGGGATGGGGGCAAGGGTCGCCATACCTCCTCCATGATAAAAAACTAAAGAAGTGCCACCCGGGACTGGCCTCCCTCCTCCACCCACCCTTCACCTCTGAAAGGAACCCAAACCCCACATTTTATCTCCTATGAAAGATATGCCGTAAATGTATTTTTGATACAGTATATTTATACTGTAGGTTTTCCTTTATTTACACCCATGTAAATGCCAAAGCCTCTGTAACGGATCAGATAACAAATCACGGCTGTGGGGGAGAGCTGATCAATTTGTGTAACACCTCCACGTTTTGTAGATGCCAAGTCCATTATTCCTCTTTCTGAAATTTTGAACCCACGTTTCCTTGGCTTACGAGAATTCCCTTGCACCATTTTTTTTTTTACTCTATCCAATTTCTGGTCTACCGGTAACTAAGTCTTTTATCATTTGTTTTAGCATGTCATGACAGGCAATTTAATGAGGGGCAATGAAATGTTTTGACAATGATGTAACCAAAGAAACTGTGGCCCAATTTTATTTAGTCACCACCAGCCGTTTGCAACAAAAACATGTATTTAAACTTACCAAAAGAAATGAGTTCTAACACTGCATCCAAAACGAAATGTCAATAAATGGCCCAGAAAATATTTTGGTTAATTTCATGTAATAACCTCATTTCTGTCAAGTTTGTTACAATCCTGTAGTGTAGATGTAAGAGCCATGCCACTGTTTTTTTTAAAAGAATTTTAAAACAATTTTTTTATCCATGAAGCCATCGAATGCATTTATTATAAAGAACAAGTGGATGTGTAGCATTCAAACCAAAAAAAAAAAACTATTGCTCCTCTTTAATCCAATGCTTTAATGTGAAGTTTTTTAACAATGATGTGAAGTTTTTAACAATGTGAAAGCTTTTAACAAAGTCCTTTCTCTGGGGACACAGAATTTTATTGTACAAACTATGTATTGTATATTTAATGTCATGTGTTGATGAATTGGTTGCAAATGACTTGTGTATTCATGTGCGTTGTATTTGGTCTTCTTTTAGATGTAAGCATTACAAATAAACTTGTTTGATTTTTACTCTTGTTTTGTGAGATTTCCTTCCACATGGTGTAGTGTATTTGATCACAATTGTGTCAACTGGAGTGTCTGTTCAAATCGAGATTGCGTGATTCAAATGTTTGAGTTTGAGCAAAAGATGTGTAAGAATGGGCATAAGTGTATTTTCAGATGCAAGTTTCCATATCTATAAATGTTGAACAACTACTGATGGTGTGGTATAGATTGGCCTTGTGGGTTGGCTCCCCTACTGCAGTGTTAATCAGTCTTCTTTGGGCTTTAGTTTTCTGTTGCCTAAAAGTAAACAGACTTTACAAATGGTGACGTATACAATGAAAAGAGAAAGTGTTAAAAGCATTCCTGCTATTAAGAAAAGAAAATAGATAAGAGTGTACTGATACATTGGTATTTTCTGAGGGTTTGATCGCATGTAGGCGCCGCCATATTTTATCACGTGATCAAGCCAAAACGCTGCTTCCTTTTTGGGATCCTTGAACAGCTGATGGTAAATTTCCGAAGCTTTGCTAATGGACTGTTTGGTTTACTTACTTTTGGTTGCCTCTTGCAATACTCTGACCAAAGTTTCTAAAGAATCTGTCCAAAGATTACCAACCAGGCCGAACACCTTGGCTTCGAACGTCCAAGAGAATGAGAAACTTCTCGTAAAAAATCGAGGCGCTACGGAAGTTTGTGGAGTTCATCGCGTCCTCCATCGGGTTGGAGGGAACTCTGGCCGTTGCAGCACTGAACAGTGGACTAAGCACGGCAAACGGGACACCCAGGGCGTAGGGTACCGCGACCAACTCGGGGACCAGTCGACGACCAGTAAATCGGGTTTGAGGTCCCCAACAAATTCTCCCAATCCCTTTTCATTCATGGCCTGGAAGAAAACATCCGAAAGAACGCTGGAGTACTCCAGTATCCACGTCCAATCGGGCTCGCCGTGCGTTGTGTTCCCCAGCGTCTCTTCAAATTTTTTTATAAACATATCTTCGGACACGTCGAGGAAGTCGCCGTAGCTGAAGTAGCGGACGCCCGATGACGAGTTGGTTCAGAGCCGCATCGCGAAGGCAGAGGGTACGGCCCAAGCGGACGTGGTGGCCGAGCAGGGCCAGCTCCTGGGCCACCAGATCGTACACCATTGCGTGGCTGGAGACTATCATGATGGGCAGAAACACAACAGTTTTCCCGTTTTGTGTGGGGCTGACGCCGTGGAGTAGAACTGCAAGCGTTGACCGCATCTTGGCTGTTGGTTACAATCTGTTTTTCAAAGATATACAAATTTCATGTATAATGAATACCAATACCATCATGAAAAATTGCTACCTCTGCTGTGAATATATGGCAATTCTGTATGACTATAGGCGCATGGTTGGGATTGGCTGACAAGAAAGCGTTAAACAGAGGGAGTGCAGGGGCGTGGCGCGGCACCATGGCGCCCCTGGAGACATAATTTGCGCAGCCCTGTCATTCCATTTAAAACAACATCTTTTCTAGGTTTCCTCGATATAGGTTATGTACTGTATGTGTGCATGAGTCTAGTTCAGTCAAGTTAACGTATTTTCTATCTCTATGTTTATTAGCCAATGAACATTCACAGTCATAGAGCGGGGGGGGGGGGGGGGGAGGGGGGGGGAAACTTTTTTTGGGGGGGGGGGGAAAAAAAAAAAATTTTTTTAAGGTGGTGGAAAGGGAGGTGGGGTTGCCGCACGATAATTTTCCAGGAATCTTAGAGTCCTAGACTAAACTAGATGATACATTGAAGACACCTTCAATAAATGTAAAGTAATTGTATTCAGGTGATAAATAACATATATCACATAGGATAACTAGGTTAATAGTAGAGACCGTGATATTCTTCAATGACATATCCTACCAGCGACATATTCTTCAGTGACATATCCTACCAGCGAAATATTCTTCAGTGACATATCCTCCAGCGACATAGTCTTCAGTGATATATCCTTCAGTGAAATTTTTTTGTAGATGTTAATAAAATTTCCCATAATCCGGAAATAAGTACATGCTTAAAATGGGTCGTATCGAAATCAAATGTTTACACCTGAGCAGAGGCATGCACTTTGATTAGTTGCTGATCATGCAGGAGACAGCTTTCTCACCGATGTAAGTTGCGTCGAATCGCGTAGACAAGCCGCTCTCAACCTGTGGGTCGCGACCCCTTTGGGGGGGGGAGTCGAATGACCCTTTCACAGGAGTCGCGTAAGATCATCGGAAAACGCAAATGCGCTACAGGTATGAGGTAGCAACGCAAATAATTGTTGGTTTTTGGCGAGGGGGAGGGGGGGTCGCCACAACTTCAGGGGCTGTATTATAGGGTTGCGGCATTAGGACGGTTGAGAACCAGTGGCATAGACCGAGATACCTGCGGCTGCAAGGAGTGGGGTGGAGCTGTGCGAAAATATTTAAATGAAGTGGCTATTCGGACCCGAGTCCTCGAAGTGAGAGGTTGGGATTAAAATTTAAAATAAAATATTATTGTTAGGTTATAAGACTAAAGTTGGTATCAAATGAAAGATAATTGAATTGACTATATGTTTGTAAACTTACTTCTTCAGTTTAACTAAAATAAACTACCACAAATTGAATACAGCCCCGTCTTTAAGGCATGGGCACAGTGGGCACTTGCCCAACGCAAATCCCCGCGCTTCTAGGTCTAGGGGGCCACTTGCTTCTAGGAGACTCACTCTTATAAAGGCTTCATGTTGCAAATATTGTTAATGAATATTGAAAAGTTTTGGCAGTTAAATTTGATATAAAAATCAGTGGACAGCCCGCTTCCCAATTTTAATCCACGATTTTATTGGCACGTTCCAAAATTAATATTATAAATGCGAATCACAAATGGGATACTTTTTAAACCTTTAAAGGGGAATAACTCTCGTCAACTTGTTTTACTTCTCCCAGATAGTAATCGAAAAATAATAAAAATAGAATATTAATTTGTTTACAATCATGTTAGACAAAGTTGTTGACCCCGGGCGGTAATAAACCCAGATAAGCCTCTGCCCCGTTGTGAAATTAGTGGAGAAAAATCAATCATAGCACCAGTAAAAGTACTACTGAATTTAATTATTATTTTATCAGGAATTTGTTGGTACCAGCAATGAATAATTCTTTTTAAAAGTAACTTTATTTGCTTTATTTTTGAAACAACAAAAACAAAACCCAAATAACTTAATATTTTTTCAACAGAAAAGTATTTTGTATTCTGTGTCTGAAAAACATATTTAGATGATAAATAGAACCCAACAGTCATCGTATGTCTGAGCTGTAGGCAGAAATATATAGTATATAATATAGGCATTTACATTCAGACATAATTTGTGCTCACTGTTTAAATTTAAAGCTCAAAGTGTCAAAGTTATTTCATCTTACATACCGGGTAGCTCAAACACATAACACTAACACAAGGATTGATTTTATTTATGGCACCATTTCTATCGATCATTTCCCGATGTTCGTTTTTAGCTGGGCACATGTCAGTCTGAAGCGACAAATCCATTTTTAAAAAATAATTACCTGTATCTTTTTAACGGATTGCTGCATAGAAATACTTAGAAATTAGTTTCATAATTGGAACACAGAAGAGAAAAAAAACTGAGGAGACAAGGAAAACAGGTAAATTTGAAAAATTAACATCTTGGTTAAATCCAATTGAAATTGTGTCTAATTCTGCTCATCAAAATATAAACGTAGTGTCTACACGTCCGGCGCGCCGGACAAATAGTGCGCATGATATAAGTCCGGCGGCAGGTCACATGACCGACGGACGGCTAGTAGTTTTTATAATTCCGAACGAAGTGCGGTTTGGTAGATCTTGTGTGGTCTACTGGTAAAGTGGTTCGCTTGACGTTAATATGAATTGAGGATCAATAGCGGGGATAAGTTCTTTTTTTTTTTCTTCCCATTTTAATTAAAAATATTTTTTACTATATTTATATTATCATGTTCATCAGCAACAGTAGTTTCATGAGAAGGTTTTAAATATTTTGCAGCAATTTAAACAATTTAAAGTGAAATCTTTTACTTTTATTGGTTGCCTACTCCATACTGGCCCCTAATTTATTTTATGGATTACTGGTACACAAACTCAAATAAAAAACTAAACAAAAATGTTTACAAGCCACTTTCACTTAAGTTTTTTTCTATTATTTGCATTCAAGATACTCAGTACATTACTTGGTAGAGAAATAGATTTTAAAATTAATAATAGTTTTGAATCATTCGCAGTCAATGTCACAAGGCTGCCAGACAAGATATCTCTCGCCGCTTTATTACGGCGGTCATGTGACTTGGTCGCGGACAAATAGTGCGGGAGATATACGTCCGGCGCGCCGGATGTGTAGACACTGCCAAATATAAAAGCCTCATCTACATCCTCTATTGGATCCAGCCATCTAGTTACAATACCATTACCTATTTCCTCTGCTAGGGAAATTGTAAAAATTGAAACAGACAAAGCTGTGTCAGAAAACGAGAGTGTTTTATTCACCACACAGATCACAGGCTTTGAAATTGAACACTTGAGAACTGAATTCGCAGTGGGCCATCATTTATTCAGAATCATGACTGCGACCTTTCAAACTCAGGCAGAGCTGGAGAAAAAAGAACTAAGACAAGGTATTTATCAAGAAATATGTTCAAACGTGAGCTGAGGAATGGCGAGTATGTAAAACTTAAAAAGCTTCTCTACTCACTATACCAAGGTTGTTTGTGTTGTTTTGCGTGCCGTCTATTGTCCAAAAAAGTATTTCCCTTTGCTATATCAGGATTTTGTACTGGAAACATAACAATCTAATTGTTGAACATGAAAATGGAGTAGTGCATTGCAAAGACATTACTGCATATTTTCTTCGACTGAAAGAAGCTAGGTGTTTAGGTCCTTTATTAATCAAAGACCATAGGTCAAAACAGAAGTACTGGCATAAAGTTCTGACTCGTGGGGTTTATGTCATTTTCTTTCTTGCCTCCAGAGGTTTGGGTCAAACTATTGGGTCAGTAAACAGTGGAAATTGTTTAGGTATTTTAGAGCTGTTGAGTAAATTTAACCCTTTTTTGGAAGAGTATCTCAAACTGTATGGAAATGCTGGAAAGGGTAGCGAATAATATCCGTCTGCAAATATTTGAGAAAATTATTGATCTAATGGGGGCAACATGTCCTTTCTGCTATTGTGGAAGTAATTAAAGAGTCAAAGTATTATTCAATAAGTTATGATTTCACTACAGACATTTTACACATTAATCAACTGACATTTACGGTCCGGTAAATTCGAGGATGTAAGTCTGTGGAACGTTTTATCAAGTTAATTTCCATATTTTCCCATGGAGCAAAGGATCTAACAGACACTGTTGAAATGATCTAGCAGACAACGTTTTGGATTTCCTGAATGAGAACAAAATTCCGCCTTCAATTTGCCGTGGTCAATCGTATGACGAAGCTTAAAATGTATATGTCTGGACGCTTCACTGGATTGCAAGCACGAGTTTACCGTGTATGTCCCTTGTGCCAGACAC